CTGCCATGGGCCCCCGTACCACCTCCTCATGCTGCTGCCAGGTCCAGAGTCTCTCATGGGTCCCTGTACGGCCTCCCATTGCTGCTGTCTCCATCGCCACACTCTGCCATGTGCCACTTTCAGGTCTCCTCACACTGCTGGTGTGTTCCATTTTGTCATAGGTGCTGGCAGATTACGGCTTCATTGCTGCTGCCAGGCCCGTAATCTGCCATGGGCCCCGTACCCACCCCTCATGCTGCTGCCAGGTCCAGAATCTCTCATGGGTCCCTGTACGGCCTCCCATTGCTGCTAGAGTCTCCATCGCCACACTCTGCCATGTGCCACTTTCAGGTCTCCCACACTGCTGGTGTGTTCCATTTGTCATAGGGTGCTGGCAGAATTACGGGCCTCCCATTGCTGCTGCCAGGCCCGTAATCTGCCATGGGCCCTGTACCACCTCCTCATGCTGCTGCCAGGTCCAGAGTGTGTCATGGGTCCCTGTATGGCCTCCATTGCTGCTGTCTCCTCGCCACACTCTGCCATGTGCCACTTTCAGGTCTCCTCACACTGCTGGTGTGTTCCATTTTTGTCATAGGGTGCTGGCAGATTACGGGCCTCCCATTGCTGCTGCCAGGCCCGTAATCTGCCATGGGCCCCCGTACCGCCTCCTCATGCTGCTGCCAGGTCCAGAGTCTCTCATGGGTCCCTGTACGGCCTCCCATTGCTGCTGTCTCCATCGCCACACTCTGCCATGTGCCACTTTCAGGTCTCCTCACACTGCTGGTGTGTTCCATTTTGTCATAGGGTGCTGGCAGATTACGGGCCTCCCATTGCTGCTTTCAGGCCCGTAATCTGCCATGGGCCCCCGTACCACCTCCTCATGCTGCTGCCAGGTCCAGAGTCTCTCATGGGTCCCTGTACGGCCCCCCATTGCTGCTGTCTCCATCGCCACACTCTGCCATGTGCCACTTTCAGGTCTCCTCACACTGCTGGTGTGTTCCATTTTGTCATAGGGTGCTGGCAGATTACGGGCTTCCCATTGCTGCTGCCAGGCCTGTAATCTGCCATGGGCCCCTGTACCACCTCCTCATGCTGCTGCCAGGTCCAGAGTCTCTCATGGGTCCCTGTACGGCCTCCCATTGCTGCTGTCTCCATCGCCACACTCTGCCATGTGCCACTTTCAGGTCTCCTCACACTGCTGGTGTGTTCCATTTTGTCATAGGGTGCTGGCAGATTACAGGCCTCCCATTGCTGTTGCCAGGCCCGTAATCTGCCATGGGCCCCCGTACCGCCTCCTCATGCTGCTGCCAGGTCCATAGTCTCTCATGGGTCCCTGTACGGCCTCCCATTGCTGCTGTCTCCATCGCCACACTCTGCCATGTGCCACTTTCAGGTCTCCTCACACTGCTGGTGGGTTCCATTTTGTCATAGGGTGCTGGCAGATTACGGGCTTCCCATTGCTGCTGCCAGGCCCGTAATCTGCCATGGGCCCCCGTACCGCCTCCTCATGCTGCTGCCAGGTCCAGAATCTCTCATGGGTCCCTGTACGGCCTCCCATTGCTGCTGTCTCCATCGCCACACTCTGCCATGTGCCACTTTCAGGTCTCCTCACACTGCTGGTGGGTTCCATTTTTGTCATAGGGTGCTGTATGGCCTCCCATTGCTGCTGCCTCCACCGCCACACTGTGGCTCCACACTCTGGTTTTGGCCCCGTGACTGCCCAAAATGAGTGAAGTGTGCGGTGATTCTAAGATCGACGGCACTCATCTGCATGTCATACTGACTGACAGTATTATTTCTCTTCCCCAGCAGACTCCAAGGGCATTTAAATTAAAGGTACAGTGTTCTGCACTAATATAAAGGCTCTCTGAAGCCTAGAAACCCTTTTTATAAGTTAAATTCGCAGCGAATATATTCGCATCGAATCGAATTTATTCCTCGAATTCGCCGAATCAGCCGAATCGAATTTTTGAATACTTCGCTCATCTCTACTCAGGATCCCCAAAGGAGGATGTACAAATGGTCAGCTAAAGTCAGACAGTTTCAAGTAGGAGACTGGGTGGCTTTTCTGATACCCACGGTGGAGAGCAAATTATTGGCCAAGATGCAGGGGCCGTTTGAGGTAGTGGGTGATGTGAACTACAAGGTACACCAGGCAGGGAAAAGCTAGCCATACCAAATGTATCATGTAAAGTTGTTAAAACCCTGGAGAGATAGAGATCAGGTGTCCGCTGGGGTAAGTGTCAATTCAGGGGAACTTGGGTGCAGGTGTCTGGTACCCTGTCTAGGCCACAAAACCAACAAGCAAAAGTGTTTCTGTAGAAAAATCGAGAAATGTTTTCAGGATTGCCTGGTCTCCCCAACTTCACTGAGCATAACATTGTAACAGAGCCCAATGTAAAGATCCGTTTAAAGCCCTATCGTATCCCAGAAGCCAATAGAAAGGTAGTGTCCGAAGAAGTGAAAAGTATGCTTGAGCTTGATGTCATTGAAGAGTCTCTGTACCAAAGCCCAACAGCTCCCTGCGCTTCTGCAATGGCTTTATGAAACTTAAAGTTAGATGAGCACATTTAACCCTTTAATCACCTAGCCAGTGCCATTAGTACAGTGTCAGTATATAGAATTTTTCACTGTATTACTGTCACTAGCGACATAAGATCAGGATCAGTTAGCGCCCCTCCCAGCTAGAGTCTGCTAGCATTAGAGTGCCTGCATACTATCACACTCACACTATAGGTTGCTGATCACCGCCATTACTAGTATAGTGTTTGTACGGATCAATATATTGATCACTAACAGTTATACCAGAGCCTCCTTTGTATAATGTCCCTAAAAATGCAGTGTTAGCAGGTTCAGCCCTGTTCGCTGCCAGCACTAGCGTTTAGCCCCTCCGCTGTTTTTCATGGCAGACTTGTACCAATTGATTGTGAGCCAAAGCAATTTATACGCACAATACATCACCGCCCTCCCAAATTCAGCTCTTGTCAGACAATTCGCATGGAAACCTATCACGGTATCTTGAGTTTAAAACTTTTTTTTTGGGCCTAACCCTCAACATGGGCATTTCAAAAAAGAATGATTTGCGGTCATATTGGTCCATAGACCCGATTCATCATATGCCCATGTTCTCTGCTGTTCCATATATGCCCAACATGGACCAGCAATGAACTGGTACTTCGCTGGACTTTGAGTGGTTATACTGGGATGATGCCTGAAGCTACAGACATCATCCTGGTATAATTTTTTCAGATGACAGTCGGCTTTCATGTAAAAGCAATCCTAGTGGCTAATTAGCTGCTGGATCATTTTCACAAGCAGCAGGGATGTTGGATTCCTTATTCTACGTATAGCACTATCCTTCTTAAAGTAGGATACCCCACCAAGTCACTTTCACAATCCTTCCCCTGAAGTACAAATATCACCAAATAAATCTTTCAGTAAACTTGATTTACCCTCTAATAAATATAGTGTATACAAATAAAGTCCAAAACCTAAAAAAAAAAATAAAAAAACCAAAGTCCAAAATAAAGTCCCAAAAATATTACTTCATAGAAAACAATCTTTATCTGTAATTTCTCAGTTCTTCATATCTTCAAAACCATCTTTGTGATATACTTCAAACCAAATCTTCATATACCTCAAAGAAAAGAACTCAACATGTGTATTATCTCAAAAAAAGGGGGTATATAAAACGTGCCACACGTGTTTCATGCAAACAAAAATGACGTGCCACCGCAACCGTGAAGAGAAATCCCTCTGCCTTAGGAATCAATCCACTGCATACCAATAAAGGAAGTGCATAATTACCCTCAGAATAGTATCAAGGGTCTGAGTACTTATTTCCAACCTTTTATATTCCTTCAGCCTTTCCAGCCACTTCCCACAGACCTCATAAACAGACCAGGGATCAGTATGTGTCATAAAAACTCATAGCACTTTATTATAGCAACTTACATTCAAATAAGATGAAATCAGCTTCCACACCAAGACGATTTATCCACAGTCCTGCCTCTCCTCAAAAGTGTGTAGGTATCCACACCATCCCACTCCCGAGGGGGAACAGATCGCCTATGGTAGGTTTCCAATACCTCAAAACCCCATGAGGATTCCAGGAAGGCACAACCGCGTGTACCAGGATGAAAGATGGCCGCCACCGCACTTCCGGAAGAGCGTCACCACGTCACGTGCCCCGGATGCGTTTCGTCACATCCGGACTTTGTCAACAGAGATCCCTGAACAAATCGTGTTTGCAACCAATGGCCGGCATTTGTGGGAGTATTTTGCAGTATAGTGTCCCATAGAAAATGCTGATTCTGAAAGGAAAGGAAAGGTTTTCTGACAAATCTGTTGGGGTGTACTCATTTATGCTGAACACTGTAAGTGCATTTCTTAAAGAGAAACATTGACAATAAAGGAATGATAATAACATCATTGGGTCTATTTATAAAAAAATGTGCAGAGCTATTTGTCTGTTGAAACTGTATATACATTGGTTCTGGGGCGAATGGGGCAAAATCAAATGTTCTCAGGCTATTTCCTCTACAACTCAAATGTTTCCCAATCACAAAAAAACTAGTGGTTTTTGAAAATACTTTAGTATGGCCATTAGATGGAGCTGATGATCATAGAAAATAAATGTATTATTTCCTATAATCTTCAGAAACATCTAGTGACAAAAATGCAGCTGTTTCCCTTGATTTTGTCCCATTTGCACAGAGCTCCTACGTGTAAACAGATAAAACAAAAATTATATAAAAATGTAAGGAATATATCAAAGGTCTTTTGTGGTATAAATAGTTAGCTAACTATTCGTGTATACTTACTTGTGTTGTTTAAATTTCTATCCCTGATGACCCACATGGAAGAAAAATATATTTGAAAGATATTTTTAAAATATTCTTCCCAAATATATTGACATGTCCACCATGTCAGAATACCGGGCCGGCCGCTCAGCTCTTCTGTGCAGCAGGACCTCGGTCCAGCGCTGTACAGTCTTCCCACGCCGGCATCTTTAGTGTGGGCACCGGGCTGTGACAGCCAGGTGCCCACTGCGCATGAGCGAGAAGCACTGCGCTTTGTGAATGGCGTCTTCTGAGACACATGACAGGTCCCAGAAGACTACGGGGCGATTCACAAAGCGCAGCACTTCTCGCGCTGTCAGCCGGGTGCACACAATAAAAAGAGGACAACTCCGCGGAAGTGGGAGTGGGTACCTGTCAATTTCAGGTACCTGCTCCCCCTCCCTCCCCAAAAGTCTGCAGTCTCTGGTCATCCCCTGTACTGTCTGCAGTCTCTTGGTCATCCCCTGTACTGTCTGCAGTCTCTAGGTCATCCCTTGTACTGTCCGCAGTCTCTGGTCATCCCTGTACTGTGTCCGCAGTCTCTGGTCATCCCCTGTACTGTATCCGCAGTCTCTGGTCATCCCCTATACTGTGTCCGCAGTCTCTGGTCATCTTCTGTACTGTGTCCGCAGTCTCTGGTCATCTCCTGTACTGTGTCCGCAGTCTCTGGCCATCCCCTGTACTATGTCTGCAGTCTCTGGTCATCTCCTGTACTGTGTCCGCAGTCTCTGGTCATCCCCTGTACTGTGTCCGCAGTCTTTGGTCATCTCCTGTACTATGTCCGCAGTCTCTGGTCATCCCCTGTAGTGTGTTCGCAGTCTCTGGTCATGTCCTGTACTGTGTCCACAGTCTCTGGTCATCCCCTGTACTGTGTCCGCAGTCTCTGGTCATCTCCTGTACTGTGTCCGCAGTCTCTGGTCATCTTCTGTACTGTGTCCGCAGTCTCTGGTCATCTCCTGTACTGTGTCCGCAGTCTCTGGTCATCCCCTGTACTGTGTCCGCAGTCTCTGGTCATCTCCTGTACTGTGTCCGCAGTCTCCGGTCATCTCCTGTACTGTGTCCGCAGTCTCCGGTCATCTCCTGTACTATGTCCGCAGTCTCCGGTCATCCCCTGTACTGTGTCCGCAGTCTCTGTCATCTCCTGTACTGTGTCCGCAGTCTCTGGTCATCCCCTGTAGTGTGTCCGCAGTCTCTGGTCATCTCCTGTACTATGTCCGCAGTCTCTGGTCATCTCCTGTACTGTGTCCGCAGTCTCTGGTCATCTCCTGTACTGTGTCCGCAGTCTCTGTCATCTCCTGTACTATGTCCGCAGTCTCTGGTCATCCCCTGTAGTGTGTCCGCAGTCTCTGGTCATCTCCTGTACTATGTCCACAGTCTCTGGTCATCCCCTGTACTATGTCCGCAGTCTCTGGTCATCTCCTGTACTATGTCCGCAGTCTCTGGTCATCTTCTGTAGTAGGTCTGCAGTCACTGGTCATCTCCTGTACTGTGTCTGCAGTCTCTGGTCATCTCCTGTACTATGTCTGCAGTCTCTGGTCATCTCCTGTACTGTGTCCGCAGTCTCTGGTCATCTCCTGTACTATGTCTGCAGTCTCTGGTCATGTCCTGTACTGTGTCCGCAGTCTCTGGTCATCTCCTGTACTGTGTTTGCAATCTCTGATCATCTCCTGTAGTATGTCCGCAGTCTCTGGTCATCTCCTGTAGTATGTCCGCAGTCTCTGGTCATGTCCTGTACTGTGTCTGCAGTCTATGGTCATTTTCTGTACTATGTCTACAATCCATTATCAGAATATTTTTTTTCTTGTTTTTCACCTCTAAAACCTAGGTGCGTCTTATGGAGCGAAAAATACGGTATTTACCGTATTTTTCGCTCCATAAGATGCACTTTTTTCCCCCAGAAAAGGGGGGAAAATGTCAGTGCGTCTTATGGAGCGAATATGGAGCGGCCGGTCCGGTATTTCCACTGCCGCCGTGTCAGAATACCAGGCCGGCCGCTCAGCTCTGCAGTGGGACCTTACCTGTTCCTCTATCCAGCGGCGTGCTGTCTTCCCGGCTTCTGTAGTGTGCGTGACAGCCGGGTGCCAAGTGCGCATGCGCACGAAGCGGTGCTCTTTGTGAATGGTAAGGCAGTACCTGGGACACATGACAGATCCCAGAAGCCGCCGGACCAATCACAAAGCGCCGCGCTTCTCGCTCATGCGCACTGGGCATCCGTCTGTCCGCCGAGCGCCCACACTACAGAAGCCGGGAAGACAGCACGCCACTGGATAGAGGAACAGGTAAGATCAAAGAACAACTCCGCGGAAGTAAGAGTGGGTACCTGTCAAATTCAGGTACCCGCTCCCCCCTCCCCAAAGGTCAGCAGTCATCTCCTGTAATGTGTCCGCTGTCTCTGGTCATCTCCTGTACTGTCTGCAGTCTCTGGTCATCTCCTGTACTGTCTGCAGTCTCTGGTCATCTTCTGTACTGTGTCCGCAGTCTCTGGTCATTCCCTGTACTGTATCCGCAGTCTCTGGTCATCCCCTGTACTGTGTCCGCAGTCTCTGGTCATCTCCTGTACTGTGTCCGCAGTCTCTGGTCATCTTCTGTACTGTGTCCGCAGTCTCTGGTCATCTCCTGTACTGTGTCCGCAGTCTCTGGTCATCCCCTGTACTGTGTCCGCAGTCTCTGGTCATCTCCTGTACTATGTCCGCAGTCTCCGGTCATCTCCTGTACTATGTCCGCAGTCTCCGGTCATCCCCTGTACTGTGTCCGCAGTCTCTTGGTTATCTCCTGTACTGTGTCCGCAGTCTCTAGTCATCCCCTGTACTGTATCCGCAGTCTCTGGTCATCTCCTGTACTGTGTCCGCAGTCTCTGGTCATCTCCTGTACTATGTCCGCAGTCTCCGGTCATCTCCTGTACTGTGTCCGCAGTCTCTGGTCATCTCCTGTACTGTCCGCAGTCTCCGGTCATCTCCTGTACTATGTCCGCAGTCTCTGGTCATCCCCTGTACTGTGTCCGCAGTCTCTGGTCATCTCCTGTACTGTGTCCGCAGTCTCCGGTCATCTCCTGTACTATGTCCGCAGTCTCCGGTCATCCCCTGTACTGTGTCCGCAGTCTCTTGGTCATCTCCTGTACTGTGTCCGCAGTCTCTAGTCATCCCCTGTACTGTATCCGCAGTCTCTGGTCATCTCCTGTACTGTGTCCGCAGTCTCTGGTCATCTCCTGTACTATGTCCGCAGTCTCCGGTCATCTCCTGTACTGTGTCCGCAGTCTCTGGTCATCTCCTGTACTGTCCGCAGTCTCCGGTCATCTCCTGTACTATGTCCGCAGTCTCCGGTCATCCCCTGTACTGTGTCCGCAGTCTCTTGGTCATCTCCTGTACTGTGTCCGCAGTCTCTGGTCATCCCCTGTACTGTGTCCGCAGTCTCTGGTCATCTCCTGTACTGTGTCCGCAGTCTCTGGTCATCTCCTGTACTGTGTCCGCAGTCTCTGGTCATCTCCTGTACTATGTCTGTAGTCTCTGGTCATCCCCTGTACTGTGTCCGCAGTCTCTGGTCATCTCCTGTACTGTGTCCGCAGTCTCTGGTCATCTCCTGTACTGTGTCCGCAGTCTCTGGTCATCCCCTTTACTGTGTCTGCAGTCTCTGGTCATCCCCTGTACTGTGTTCGCAGTCTCTGGTCATCCCCTGTACTGTGTCCGCAGTCTCTGGTCATATCCCGTACTGTGTCCGCAGTCTCTGGTCATCTCCTGTACTATGTCTGCAGTCCATTAGTTCAGAATTTTTTTTTTCCTGTTTTCTGCCTCTAAAACCTAGGTGCGTCTTATGGTCAGGTCCATCTTATGGAGCGAAAAATACGGTATATTTACAAAATATATGAAAAATATCTTTAAAAATACATTTCAAATATACTGTATGTCTTTAAAAATACAAATCTACATTTTTGGAATGCATTTACAAATATATGTAAAAATATATGTTAAAATTACTTTTTTATATGTTAAAAAAAATCAGAAAAATATATTTTATAAAATATATATTTTTAAAAAAATATATATTTTTTAAATATAGTCTTCAGATTTTTTTTTAACATGTTTTTTTAAGAGGGGTTTATGAATTTGGGTGACTGCAGCTTTACCAGAACCTACTCGGGGCCAATCCACCATTTCAAGATCTAAGCTTTATGTATACAATACCGGAGAAAAGTATTCTTTTTTGCCGCATGTATGGTTTAGGAAAATTCCACTTACCTGTCACAAAGTCTGACCAGAGTTTGTTTCTGCCAGTTCATCCACAGTCCCCACATCTAGTATGATTAATATACAACATGGGAGGACTAGTATCTGTTCTTAGCACTGTCTGACCCTCCACCAGTTTCATACAGTAGACAGGACACAGAAAGATTGCCAGCATGCCAATGCCATATCTAAGGCCAGGAGAAATTTATAGAAGATATAGAACCCAAGAGACTAATAACATCCCCCCAGAGCATAATTATCTACTGTGACTGTCGGGTACATGGAAATGAAGGTTGATTAGGAGTGACATGTGTTCTTTTTTAATGAACGTTTTGGTAACTTTGCAAGTTTAGTCTAAACTGTACGAGGGTGCGTGTCCGTACACACCAGAAAGCCCCCATGCTAAAATGTAACCTTGATCTAGGAATTTAAAAAGTATGTCCCTGTAAGGGACCGCCTGGCGGTACCACTAGCACTCCACTGGTCAGACGTCCCCAGCGCACAGAATCTAAGCCTCAGGGTACGTGTTCACCAGGGCCCCTGATGGTGGGGATGGACTTGAAGTACCCTGAGACCAGGTCGTGGCTACTGAGTACACCTGTCAGTGGTAGCAGTATTCGCCAGGGGCTCCCACAGGGAAGAGCCTGATATGAGGAGGTTGGGTGATCCCGTTGGGATGGATGGATGGCTGAGCAAGTGCAAGGTCAAACAGGCCAGGTCGGTAACTGTGGGGACGGAGCGGTACAAAGCAGCGGGCAGAGAGTAGTCGGGTCACATGCCAGGTCAGCAACGGAAGGTCAGATCTAAACGAGGGCATCCAGGAGAGAGGTCAGGCAAAGCAAGGGTCTGGGCAGGAGAAGGCAACAAGGTCAGGTACAATCCGGGTCAGTAACTCACTTAACACAGGTTTGCAGATACAGGATACAAGGAAAGACCAGAAGGCACTGAATGACAGCTCAGGGCCGTTTAAATATCGCGCCCTGCGCTGTCATTGGTTGCCAAGCGCGCCCGCGGCCTCTACTGCGCATGCGCGGGCTTGAACGCCGCGTCCGGCCAGGACCTAGTGCCCGCGTCCCTGCACAGGGTGGGCGGCGCCGGGACCAGCGCTGCGGCGATCCCCGACAGTCCCAAACTGCTCAGATATCAATGTACATGTACCCATGGGGAAAGGAGAGCACCTACTATATTGCACCATAAATTATCCCTGAATATAAGTTATTAAGCCAGTGTAAATACCTATCTGTGTAGAGATGAATCATACAAAACCGTTACTATTAGGTCTTCTCTATCCAGAGGATATAAAGATAGATCAATGGATTCTCTCAATCCAGAGAAAAGGAATATATGTATTGATGTTAAGGTTCAAACAATCGTCTATCAATGCAGCCTACTGAATCATAAATATCATTGTTGAAAACTCATCTGTATCTGTTACTGAAATGTAATTTATCTTATAGTAATGCAAGGTAGATCATAAATTCCATTATTGATAGAACATGGGTATCTAAAGGAGGGAGACAGAGCTATAAATATTGAATTTCAATCTGTCTTCTGATGATATAGACCTCCTATATAACTCCAAGCCATCAATCTCTCTTGCTACAGATACACTATATTGCCAAAAGTATTGGTCGGCCTGCCTTTATGCGCACAGGGACTTTAATGGCATCCCAGTCTTAGTCCGTAGGGTTCAATATTGAGTTGGGCCCCACCCTTTGCAGCTATAACAGCTTCAACTCTTCTGGGAAGGCTGTCCACAAGGTTTAGGAGGGTTTCTATGGGAAGGTTTTGTTGGTTATGTGTTAGAGAAGACACTAGTAGCTTGTGATGAGGCAGAACTTGGTTTACTTGTGTGGCTTAAGTTGCAAACATACAAAACATTTCAGCAACTGTAACAGCAGACATCTTGGTTGTAAAGAGAGAGAGAGAGAAGAGAAAGAAGAACCAACAAGTTTTACAGATATGCACAACTGGTAACCTTAGTGTACAGTGCCATCTACTGGTCAAGTGATATTAACACACAACACTATATAGTACATGCTGTTGCATCCCCAACAGGTTTGACCATTCTTCCAGAAGCGCATTTGTGAGGTCAGGCACTGATGTCGGGGGAGGAGGCCTGGCTCAGTCTCCGCTTGAATTAATCTCAAAAGGTGTTCTGTCGAGTTGAGGTCAGGACTCCACCCCTTGCTTTGTGTACTGGTGTACAGTCATGTTGGAACAGGAGCTTCATGGAATGGGTTTCCATGGCTGAGCAGCTGCATCCAAGCCTTACATCACCAAGTGCAATGCAAAGCATTGGATGCCATTGTGTAAAGCAGGCCGCAACTGGACTCTAGAGCACAGAGAGACATGATGAATCTTGCTTCTGTCTGGCAATCCAATGGACATGTCTGTGTTTGGCGGTTACCAGGAGAATGGTACTTGCCTGACT